GCCTCTGAGGCCAACACTGCTGATGTCTTCACCAAGGCACTTGCGCCTTGTGATCATCAGCGCTGCTGTACCCAGCTGGGTCTTGTGTCTGTCTTGCCTCACTTGCTCTCCTCTTGACCCTCTTTGTACTGTTACATATATATATCACTGCTCTTGCTTGTTTAGTCTTATATATATATATGTACTCCTGCATGTGATCTGGCCTTGTGGCCTTGCACTTGTGCTCGGATTGTGTGGTGACGTTGTGATCCACCCTGAGCTTGCTTTGCTTTGCTTTGCTTTACTTGACTGGTCTTGTGACCCCTAGTTCTCCCCCACTTCGCCTATGGGGGTGTGTCAAACATTATATATGTTGTTGTAGTTGTTTAGGCTACAGTGGGTTAGCCTATAGGGGGTACACATTCCTAGGTTTTCATACTTGTACTCATTTCACTGTTAGTTCATTCCTTCTTGTTCAACACTTAGCTCTCCTAACACATTCCCACCCATCCCGTCCCAACAGAGAAGAATACCCAAACCTGCTGCCAGCAGGAATGATATTTGACCGTGTGGGAAGGGCACCTTGCAGCACGTTCGTGGCTATGTGGGCGTGGGGAGACCGCCCCTTCACCTTCGCCCCCAACATCGGCTATCCCATCGGCCTGGGCTACTTCACCGAATTCATGCTAGAGCTGGGTGCAGTGCGATTTAGCGCAGTCCCATGTGGTTCAGTGCGGTTCATTGCAGTTTATTGCAGCCCCCCTGCAACACGTTCGTGGCAGTGTGGGCATGGGGAGGCCGCCCCAGCACCTTCCCCCCCCTCCAACCGTCGGCTACCCCATCGGCCCGGGCTACTTCACCAAGTTCGTGCTGGAGGTGGGTGCAGTGCGGTTCTAAGCATTTCCGTGCGGTACAGTGTGGTTTCGTGTCGTCCAGTGCGGTTCGGTGTGGTTCAATGGGGTTCAATGTAGTCCAGTGCGGTGCTGAACGATGTCACCCCACTCCTGTCACTCCACAATTTACTCCGATGTCTCTTGTTAATCCCTTCTCCTCCTCTCCCTCTGTCTCCTCCCCTCCACACAAACACCAATACTCTCGAGATCAACACCATCGCCCCAACACTCCTTCCCCTCCCCTCCCCTCCCCTCCCCTCCCCTCCCCTCCCCTCCCCTCCCCTCCACGCCAATTCCTCAGGTGCACTATGCAAATCCCGAGGGTTGCACCGACATAGTCGACAGCTACAGGGGATGTACCTCAAGCCCCCTCCCCCCTCCTCCTTAACCCCCTCTTCCGACGCCCCCTTCCCTGCCCACCTCTCAGATGCACTATGCGAATCCCGAGGGTCGCACCGACATAGCCGACAGCTCCGGGGTGTACCAAAAACCCTCTTCCCCCTCCCCTCCTCCCTAACCCCCTCTTCCTGCCCCCCTTCCTGGCCCACCCCTCAGATGCATTACGCGAATCCCGAGGGCCACACCGACATAGTCGACAGCTCAGGGGTGTACCTAAAACTGGCGGCATCGCCAGCGGGTTTCAGAGACGCGCACATAATGAAGACGGGCCTAGTAGACCACAGCAGGCTCATCCGCATGCCGCCCGGCATGCCCTCATGGACGCATTCGAATTCCTGCCCGGGCGAGTGCACTGCTGCCGTGTTCAAGAATGAGAGTGTGAAGATCATTGGGTCGATCCTCCACGAGCATAACATTGGACGCCAGGTGGGATTCTTTAAGCGCCGTGCTTAGTTAACCGCTTCGCGCTTATTTCTGCTGTAAAAACGGTAATAGCCACACATAATGCACTTCAATGGGATGCTCAATTGGACAAGCTTCCAGTTTTCTGAGGCGCCTCAAATTAAAAACCGCGAGTCATGAGGCGATTTTTTAGGCGCCTCAAACATAGTGCTCACTTGGACAAGCTTCCAGTTTTCTGTGTGTGTGTGTGTGTGTGTGTGTGTGTGTGTGTGTGTGTGTGTGTGTGTGTGTGTGTGTGTGTGTGTGTGTTTTTATATATATTTTCAGAATATTTTGTGAGCTTGTTGTGTTGGCTCTCTGCCAGCACGTGAAGTGATGAAGCATCAGGTGAGTGGGACACTTCACTTCATGCCTTCACATCACGCCTTGACAGAGGAAGCGCTTAGAGGAACCCTCGCACACCGTCTCTTGCCATCTCATCCTTCCCTGCTGTGATCCCCATCTCCTTTTGGATTTCCTCCCATCTCTCTGCAGATGTACATGGAAATGACTTTTGAGTCGACTCAAAAGTCAAAACTCACCTTGTTTTGAGTTGACTCAAAAGTCAAAAGTCACCTCGTTTTGAGTCGACTCAAAAGTCAAAAGTTACCTCGTTTTGAGTCGACTAAAAAGTCACCTCGTCTCGTGCCATCTCATCCTTCCCTGCTGTGATTCCCATCTCCGTACGGGTTTCCTCCCATCTCTCTGCAGATGTACATGGAAGTGCTAAGAGGGGGCAGAACGGTCACAACCATTAACCGCATTGACTACTGGTGAGCTTTGCCCTCCTTTAACCTTCCTCCCTCACCCAATCATCAACCATCTCGAACCGTCTTGACTAACATACCAGCCCTTCAACCTTCCTGCTTTTCCGCCTTCATCCCATCTACCCTCCCTCCCCTCCCCCCAAACACCCCTTTGCGCCCCCTGCTCTCCGTTTCGCATGTCATCAGCCCATTGCCACTCTCCCTCACTTTAACCTTCCTCCCTCCCTCCCTACTTTCCCCTCTCCCTGATTTCTCCTCTTCCCATGAACCCACCTCCTTTCTCCCCTTCCCTAAAACCATGTGTGGGTGGCAGTGACTATGCATCGCAGCAGACCATGCCGGTACAACCAGAGTTCGAGCTTAGAGTCGACGCAAGCCCTTACCCCCTCCGCTGCCCCTCCTTCTTTCACCTTCCTCTGTGCCAGTGACTATGCATCACAGCAGACCATGCTGGTACAACCAGAGTTTGAGCTGCTGCCAGGGATTGAGATCCGCACCACCTGCGTGTGGGACTCCACCTCTCGCTCCAATGTATGCACCACCTTAAAGCCCAGGCCTCAATGTTTTGGCAATTTTTTAATGGTTGAGTAGCTGCCAGGGATCGAGATCCGCACCACCTGCGTGTGGGACTCCACCTCTCGCTCCGTGGTACCAATCTTGGGCTCTTGAGACTTACTTCTAGAACCTTGTGAATTTGAGTTGACTTAAAAGTCATTTTGGGCTCCTGAGACCTACTTCTAGATACCTTAGGTAACAACGTTGAAGGCGCCTCAGAAGTTGCCTTCTTGCTCTCCCTTTCTCACTCTTTGTTTTCTGCTCTCTGTCTCGCTTGCTGGCCCTCCCACACACATCTCGTTCTCTCTGTATCGCTTGCTGCCCGGCCCTGCAGGTAACGGTGGGAGGGCCAGCAGCTGAGAACGAGATGTGTGTGGCATACCTTGTTTACTACCCCGCAACGCAGGGCCGAGGTAACCCTTCCGCTCACACCTTGTGCACTATTGAGGCACCTCAAAACCCGAGCAACGCAGGGCCGAGGTAGCAACGAGCAAGGGTAGTGGGTGGTTGCACCCTCTTAACACCTCAAACCCTGGCAGCATTCTCGAGCACCTCACTCTCTCCCTCATAACACCTCACTCTCTCCCTCATAACGCCACTCACACTCTCCCTCATAACGCCACACACACTCTCCCTCATAACGCCAGACACACTCTCCCTCATAACGCCACACACTCTCCCTCATAACACCACACACAAACTCCCTCATAACGCCACACACACTCACTCCCTGCATCCCACCCGCCCCAACCCTTCTCCCCCCTCCCTCCTGATTCCTCTTTCCCCTATGCCTGCTCACCCCCATGCCTGCTCTTCCCCCGGGGACCAGAGATGCATACATGCTACATGGTGTGTGGGGCGATGGACAATGGCACACTCACTATAAACCCCAGCAACACCAAACCGTTTTCCGCTTGCCCTCGGCTCCCTCCCTCCCTTCCATCCCCTCCCTGCAACCAGAGATGCATGCATGCTACATGGTGTGTGGGGCCATGGACAACGGCACACTCTCTACCGACCCCAGCCGCCTACACCTCACCACGCACTACGTGTGTGGGCCAGGATGGCGCGACCCCTACATCCCCACCAAAAAGCCGTGTGCTATCAGCTATGGGAGCAACAATCCTGTCACGGTCCTGACCGGTGAGTGCTGAGCAGATCGTTGCACTCCACCCCACTCCACCCCACTCCACCCCACTCTAGCCTACTCCACCCCACTCCGCCCCACACT